TTTTTTTTTCTTTTTTTCAAGGTTTTCGGTAACAAGATTCTGTCTCTACAGATGGAGGCTGAGTTGAAGCTGAACTCGATAGACGCTGGTGAAGCAGCAAGCTCGACTAGGAGTAAGGAAGAGCCGCGGTTGAGGCATTACCAAGCCTACATGGGGGACGATCTCACGGCATTAATACCTGCAGCTGGTCGCCGGTTTATGTGGGGTTCGGCAGCGGATGTGATTGTGCATTTTTGGTTGAGCCTCACCTGCTGAAGCTCAGCTATCGATCTCGTCTGAATTTCTAACTTCGATGTTTTTTCAATAGTGTTGCGTTAAACCAGATGAAAGTAGAGTGTTTGAGCTGACACGAGCTTCGAGTCGCTGAAACTAAACGATATTCAATGAATAATATTCATTTTGATTGGGATTATTCAACCTGAATGTCTGTACAATGATGCGTACTAAGCAGCTGATCTCACGAGCATCCGATACCCGATATCAGATGCATACTCGGGTCGTGTGACTCGGCGGATATTACTCGCGAAGTCCCCCGAGTATAAACAGCCGGTCGCACTTACCAGTGCTGATTCCACGTAAAGGGATGTCATTATCGTGACCGTTCTGCACGGATTCGGACTTAGCTGTACTGCACTTCCCGTGATAGCAACTTGCTATTAGCAAGGCACTTTAGACAAACCGTTGTGAACTGTGAGCTGTCATATGCAGCCGGCATAATGCAGGATATTCATCGAGTATCCATGACAAACTAGCTAGTGGCTTTGCACCGTTAAGTTCTGACGCGGAAGGAGAGTTCGACGTGTTATAGCTTATAACGTCTTGGCAAGAAGATCAGACTTGAAGGAAATCTTGCGTTGTAGAAATCAATAGGGGTTGTTCAAAAACCTTGAACCACACCTTATCAGAGGGGGCGCCTTCGCCTCATCTCGAGTCAAGATAAAACGAAGTAGAAAGCAGGATGAAAAGCAAAATGAGGGTCGAATTTTCACCGTGAAAACTTGGAACCAGAAGTTCAATTTGCCAATCGTTACAGATCTAAGTGATCTTAAACATTGAGCTATATGAGAAATGCACAAAATTGTGTTCATTGTACAATCCAAATCGATCGCAGCATTCATTGAGCGGTAATCGCGCGACGAATTGAGTCGCGTGGTCAAGCATCCCATTTTTTCTATGCATCAACTTCTTCGTCTGAGCAGCCAGACGACTAAACAGTGTTTAGTAGACACCATAATGGATGCGCGATTGGAAGGAGCAAACTGAAAGAAAAGAGAATGAGTCTCGAACTATATCACGACCGTCAGGAAATCCGATCCACTTGATATTTTGAAAGAGCATTCGCCCTGTCTTGAAAAAACTATATCCCTATTTCTAGCTGGACACTACAAAAGAGGATTTTCGTCAAAAGAGGAACGTTGCTCAAGTGCTCTTTTGTGACGTATCGCCGTGTAGGATCTACAATCAACATGACATCTGACAACCCATAGCGGTTAGTCTTGGACGAGTACAACACAAAAAATTCTCTTATCGCGAAACGTCCCCAAGGAGATAGCTGTAGCCATAGTCTGGCTGCAGAGATCCCCGAAACTGTTGACAGAATCAGCCGACTGAGCGATGCGGAGTATATCAAAGACCTACAGGTTTCCCCTGGAGTCTCGCTCACAAGATCAGCCGCCCGGTTAACTGCTGCCGTACCAGCGGCTCACACCTGACCCAGGTCTGTCCCATTATAAAAAATTGGTCAGTTACCCAGGACTTCCTCTTAGAATGGTCGACTTTTGGAGCACCCGCGAGCGATCAAGCTGGCTCTAATCACTTGTGCTAGAGATGATCCTAGCCTCTTGTGAGCTTTTCTCCAAAGTTGTCGACCGGAATTATGGGATATACTTGTCGGGGCGTGCGCTTGTGGTGCCCCGTTTTGCACACAGTTTGGGGATATTCTCTTCCATCTTTTGCATCATCTCTGATCATGAGATTCTCACGATAAGAGGTCACTTAGTAGGATCTCACTCATGATCTCATCTAACATGAATATAGCATCCCACCCGGGATTCAACGACCCAGTGGGGGCGTTGGGTTGGACGTAGATTAGGCAGACTCTGCCCACCAGACAGGCAGCGGATTGTGAACCGGACTGTTCCTGACTAGTGCAACTGATTACCTTATGAAGTGGTGACTCCCAGTGGATCTCAGTGGAAGGGCGGATGTCCAGACCGTCTCGTCTCACATGTTGTGGGGCTTAACCCTAGGGGCTATCGATTTTCGAGCAGTAGTGTGGTAGTTGTTGTTTGTCTTAATTGTCGCACGACTTTATTATGGTAGCTGAAGTTGACTTGGAGAAAGCTGGCGAGTCATCCTTCCGCACTACCATTCCTACTCCTCGACAAGTGGACGTGTGAGTCTCATGAGTAGTGTCCAACCCCTACGTACGATTGTTCTTTGTCAGTGGTTCAAGTCTGGAGTGGACACATCTTACTTTCGCTGTTGGTGACAAGAAGATCCTCAATGACTGCTCTGGAACACTCCGACCGGGGGAACTGACAGCCGTGCTAGGTCCGTCGGGGTCGGGGAAATCGACCCTCATGAACGTGCTCGGTGGTAGACAGGGCTTGAAGGGTCCTGGCCGATCCTTCAAGGGTGCTGTGTCGTTTAATGGGAGGGTGGAGGACCCTGTGCACTTCCGGAATCGGATTGCCTATGTGATGCAAGATGATACTCTAGTGGCGACCAGTACCCCTGAAGAGATCCTTCGCTTCTCTGCTAATCTCAGGCTGGCTGATACCAACAGGAAAGAGGTACTATTCATAGGGGGCATTTTTTATGTTGGACCGAAATCATATCAGGTGAATGAGTTAGTATCAAATCTTCTGGACTCATTAAAGTTGACTAACTGCAAAGACACGGTTGTTGGTAATGAGATTATCAAGGGTATCTCTGGTGGTGAGAGGAAGAGGACTTCGGTTGGCGTAGAGCTCATCACCAAACCAGAGATGATATTCTTGGACGAGCCTCTCACTGGTCTCGACTCCTATGCCGCTACTACTACTGTGAAGGTACTCAAGGATCTAGCGGCTAATGGAGTACCTGTCATGATTACAGTTCATCAACCTTCCAGTGAGATCTTTGCTATGTTTGATAATATCGTAGTTATTTCGGAAGGCTGTATCGTGTACGATGGTCCCAGGAAAGAGCTTGTCGACTTCTTTTATGAAAATGGTGGTTATAAGTGCCCGAGTAACTACAATCCTGCTGATTACGTATTGTACGTGTTGCAGACTGAACCGAGGGAAAATATTGAAGTTCTCGTTGATGCATATAAGGTTTACTTCGAGAAGCGGATGATGTCAGGAATAGATGAGCTCCGTGGGGAAGCTGTCCAGCAGGCTGAAGTTCATTCGAAAGCTCGAGTAGCTTCCTTGCGAGTTCAGCTGAGGGAGCTACTGAAAAGGGACTTCCGAGACATCATCAGAAACCCAACGGTGCAAATCATAAAGTTTTGCATGACCGTTTTCATGGGGCTTATAATGGGCTGTGTGTTTTTCCAAGCTGGTGCGGATGAGTCTGAGATGTATTGGCTCACCAACCGTGGGAGATTCCAGTCCTACTATGGTGGAATAGTCATTACGTGTGTGGCTGCTATGATGGGATCAGCTCAGACGACCATCTTGAGGTATCCGGATCAGCGTGCTATTTTTGTGAGGGAATACGCTAGCAATATGTATTCCTCTATTCCTTATGTGCTATCACAGACTCTACTGGAAGTGCCAATGGCATTCATAGAGAGTGTCATTCAGATCATCATAGCTTACTTCATGCTAAACTTTCAAGGCAGCTGGATCTTATGGGTTTTGAGTAACCTTCTTATCAACTTAGTATCGGCATCCTTTGCCCAGTTCCTCGGTGCTCTGGCTAACTCTGGCGCCCAAGCAATGCAGTTCATGCCGCTCATTTTGGTCCCTCAGATGATCTTCTCTGGTTTGTTCACTCCTATAAGTGAAATACCGGTGTGGTTACGATGGTTGCAGTATTTGAGCTTCCTCAAGTACACTGGTTCCTTGGCATACTTCAATGAATTTGGCTTCGATATGACTCTCCTGAACGAGGCCAATGACATCCATGCTGATCTTGTTGGGTTGTACATCGGTGTTTTGTTGGCAATGCTCATCATACTGCGCATCTTGGCAACTGTAATTCTGAAACGTAAGGCTCGGTACGTGTATTAGGCAGCTGAGGAGACAGCAGTACTTCGATGGACGCAGGGCTGTTAGTCCTCAGAATCTCGACTGCCACTCTTCTTTGGTTACCGTCACTGAGCAGACTCTTTGTTCCACCACCATGGTTTGGTAAGTGATTATTTTCTATGCTTTTAAAAGAGCTGTAGGATGTAATAATGATGAAACTCCCAGTAGCATCCAAACCGGCCGCTGTTTGAGACTCCTTGATAGTATTCCATTGACAGGCGTTGTCTGTCGCTCTTCTTCCTTCAACCGCTGTTTGTTGCGTTTCCCAGAGTGATGACCACTTGCACTGTATAAGATTTGGTTTACGGAATTTGTTGTTACGAATAAGGTTATGACTTCTCAAACCCCCACTGCCTCTCCGAAAGATCCTATTGCTGATCTACGGAACTTCCGATCGCTTTCCGTTAGTGGATCTAAAATAAAGTAAGTCGCTTCGAGGACTCCATAATAGCTCATTGACTGGCACTTTAGTGGTGCGAGTCTGGAGTGGACTAATGTCGACTTCAGTATAAAGGACAAGAAGATTCTCATTGACTGCACTGGAATGGTGCGTCCAGGAGAGCTCACAGCTGTTCTTGGTCCCTCCGGCTCTGGCAAGTCCACATTGATGAACGTTTTGGGTGGACGACAGAGCCTACGTGGGGACGGCAGAACTTTTGACGGTGAAATCTCCTTCAACGGCAAGGTTCAAGATCCTTTCAATTTCCGAAGTCACATAGCGTATGTCATGCAAGATGATCATCTTACTGCCACTGCTACCCCGAGGGAGATCCTGGAGATGTCAGCCCGTCTGAGGATGCATGATCAGAGCAAAGCTGAAGTGAGCTGTGAACTACAAGGCCTTTGCCTTCGTGTTCGTGAGATGATTTCTTTCTGCGCAGGTCGAAGCTTTGGTCACGGATCTCCTCGATTCGTTGAAGTTGACTTCGTGTGAAAGTACCGTGGTGGGTAACGAAGTGATCAGAGGCATTTCCGGTGGCGAGCGAAAGCGCACGTCGGTCGGGATGGAGCTCATCTCCAAGCCGCAGATGATATTCCTTGACGAACCTCTCTCTGGCCTCGATTCTTATGCTGCTGTAACTACTATGAAAGTTCTCAAGGACCTGGCTCGGTCAGGTGTAGCCGTGGTGGTAACAGTCCATCAACCATCGAGTGAGATATACTCTATGTTTGATAACACTCTGGTTATTTGCAGTGGTAGAATGGTGTACTTGGGCTCGACTGCCGATCTCAAAGCCTTCATCCAGGATAGTACATCGAAA